AGAGGATGATTTCATCAAGGGGCAAATATTTATACCCACGAGAATTTAAAAAGATTCAGATTAAACAACACTCGCCTGGTAGTACTGTGGCTCTTGGCTATGGGTCAGTGGCAAATCTCTGCACCTGCCACTAACACCAAGACCCTCCTCTCTTGGGGTTAAAGATAATAAAGAATCCCACCGTCAGCAGAGAACTGGAAGTGAGATGATGTGCCCCAATTTGTCATTGTGTTGGATGGGGAATAGAAGAAAAATGAAAATCCTTTTGATGTCTTTATCTTAGTGTTCTAAAACATGCTAATAGCAATTAAAATAACTTTAATTAGAAGAATAAGGGAAGACCTAGGCCAGGGTGAAGTTTTTCTGTTTTGACAGGCTCTAAATCCTAGTTTACATGGAATATAACTAAAGAATACATATATGAAAAACATAGAAGTATGTATTTCAAATGAGATCAAAGGTATAATTTGGAAGTCTTTTTGTTTCTGATTAAGTCGTTCAAAAGCAGGATTTAAAAAAATTTAAATTAGGGCACCTGGGGGCTCAGTCGATCAAGCGTCTGCCTTCAGCTCAGGGTCCTGGGATCGAGTCCCACATCGGGCTCCCTGCTCCGCAGGAAGCCTGCTTCTCCCTCTCCCACTCCCCCTGCTTGTGTTCCTGCTCTCGCTGTCAAATAAATAAATAAAATCTTTAAAAAAAAAAATGGAATTGAGCCCCAAAGTGAACTACATCGGGCTCCCTGCTCAGTGGGGGAGGCTGCTTCTCCCTCTCCCTCTGCCACTCTCCCTGCTTGTGCTCTCTCGCTGTCAAATAAAATCTTAAAAAAATTAAAAAGGAATTTGAATTGTATTCATACTGCAGGTACTTTAAAATCACTTTCCCCAAAATATGAAATACATACTCAAAAATGCATTTTCTTTTTCCTTATTTCCAATGATGTGGTCAGTGTAGTGCTAAAGTCCTAGGAAGCAGTAATGAAAATTCTTAAGACTTATTTTCAGTATTTTAGAAGTCTGATAGAAATCACATATTTTTAAAAATCTGCACAAGCTAATGAAAATAGTTTCTTTGCTTTTAGCTGGTATTGTAGTTGATGGTATAATGCCAATTATCACTATGGAGAATTCTGACAGCTATATATATATATTTTTTAAGATTTTAAGTAATCTCTACACCCAACGTGGGGCTTGAACTTAGAATCCTAAGATCAAGAGTTGCATGCTCTACCAACTGAGCCAGCCAGATGCCCTATGTACCTTTTAATAGAAATGTCATCACATAATGAGCAATATATTTGATAAGCACATAGCCATTCAAAACACAGTCCGGGGACGCCTGGGTGGCTCAGTCAGTTAGGCATCCGACTCTTGATTTTGGCTCAGGTCATGATTTCAGAGTTGTGAGATCGAGCCCCCCCATTAGGCTCTGGGCAGGGCGTGGACCTTGCTTGAGATTCTCTCTCTCCCTCTGCCCTTCCCCTGCTCTCTCCCTCTCAAAAAAAAAAAAAAAAAAAAACTTTAAATGGGAATTGATAATATAAGTATGAACTGATGATGTATTTCCTAGACAAACTCCAATAATTTCCTTCTGGTCCAAATTACAATATATTTAGGAATAAACTGAACCCCACCTTGAAAAAAAAAAAAAAAATCAGTAAGAAATGAAAAAAAAAAAATGAACCCCAACCCCCCGCGCCCCAGACTGTGAAAGAATGTATTTAAAGGATGTCCTGGTAATGAAAAATGTTGGAACTACCCTAAAATGCCATTTAGCCCCCACTATCACTGTTCTTTCATCCGTCTATTTGCAACACCTATGGAAAACTTACGTCCTGTTCCAACTGTCTCATGGTTTAAGGCAATTTAAATAATCCCATAGGACAGATCTCTCATGAGAATGGTTTGCTGCAGACTATCAAGACTCGTTTCATTAGAGGAAAAACAGTCAACTGTAACAAAAATCTTACTTTCCAACAAAGATCTCAGCACTTACAAATCAATTGTATTAAAGATTGCTGACCAATCTTCCTGGAAGTGACAAAAACTTCTGTTCAAAATCTAAGACTCAAGAGATGCTTAAGGTGCTAGAAATTGAAGATTCCAAAATGTTGTGAGTTGGTATTTCCAATTAGCTAATTTCTCCAATCGGAAAAACCAGGGGATTAATCAAAATTTTGCCCTAGGGCCTTTTGTGGGGTTGGTCACTCGTCTTTTAAAGCAATCACTCTGAGTGTTGACCAGCCAACATACAAATACCCAAGTAGAGGACATCTGAAGAAACCCCTACCTGCAACTTCATCAAGAATCGCAAATTCAGTAAATTTTAGTCAGTTACCGTAAAAGCCAACAACCTCAAGAGCCTTTTAAACTAGATGGCTTTCAAAGATATAACTTCTCTGAAACTACACTTAAAATATTTATGTATAGACATGCATCTTTTTTTTTGGTCAGAATTCATTTTTGGTTAGATTCTCAAGAGATAACCACTACAGTAGCATAAGAAAACTTGTCTGCAAGATAGTGTTTCTCACATACTTATTTGTGTCGGCCTTTGACAAACCCAAACCTTAAAACATTATTTGAAATTTCTGTATTTTAAGTAACAAACCGGAGTACACTGAATACCCTTTTTCAAACTACAAAGCAGTCCCAACACCCTCTGAGATGGAGATATACCTCCCCCCAAATGGAGGTACACCTTTTTTTGAAGATTTTCCAAAAGTAATCTCTATACCCAACATTGGGCTCAAACTTAAAACTCCGAGATCAAGGCACATGCTCCACTAAGCCAACCAGGTGCCCAAGGGGTACACCTTTTAAATGAGTACTGAAAGAATAAAACCAGATTAAGCTGCCACTTAAACATAAATCAGGTCTTCAGAATGTACATTATTCTGTAATCCCACAAAAGCACTATGCTCTACCCTAGTTTATAAAAAGCAGTGGTTGAGAAGTCAAAGGTGAATTTTTATTTCTTGCCATTCAACCAAAATTCGTTGAAATTCCACATCCAATTATTGAACTATTTCAAGACAAAAATACAAAACCCCAACTAACCCTAGAACCCATATTTTTATGACAGTATTTTTGAATGACTTCATAGAAAAGGTTAACAAAAAAATTGCAGTACACCTGCAGTGTCCTTGAATCACTTTTAATCAGTGAAACTTAGCATCCTGTGGTTGACATCCTATCAAAAAGTCTTGGTAATGGGTAGTGATTAAATTTTCAGATATTAAAAATTAAGTATTAAAATTTACAATTAGCAAAAATCCAGTCCCTGTCACCATCAGGAATGGAATAAAAGCTCTGCTTATCCACGTTATTATCCCAACAGACATCTTAATCTTACAAACGTAACTATGAGACTCCAGAATAAAAGTTTCTATTATAACACCACACAGAACTCGGTCAAAACCATTCAGGAAGCACATTTAACAAGATACACAGGCTCAGATACACAGGACCTCAGAATCTCCACCCTCACGCCTCCAATTAATTTGTCAAATTACTTAGTTCTAAATGAATACTCAGGATGACACCTTGATAACTATCGTTCATCCAAATGAAGTCTTACAGCTTAGCCCTGATATATTTAAAATTTACATCAGTTGGCACTCATAGAACCTAAAATCTGAATTTAAAGTCCAAAGCCCTTTGGGGGAAAAAAAAAACCAAATGCATTCTTTCAGTTCTTCATAAATCTCAGACAATAATCTCTAGATGTTGTGTATTTCTTCAAAGTCATGTATATCAAGACTTGACTGAAAAGTTTGGATTTTGTTTAAAAAGCCTTTATTCATTTTTGATCAGGGAAAGGAAAATCTCCATGTCAACTTCTCACCTAATCATAAATTTGAACAGGATTCACTGCCTTAAAGACACTGCACCTACAGATTTTGACAACAACCTAAAATGAAAATCTCCCTTGTTCCCTAAGGTTGCATGTTGAAATGAACAGTCCCTTGCAATAACCAACATTGGTACTTGGCCTAGGCTTAAGGTCAAATAGCAAAACAGGAGCAAAAGGAGGCCAAGTGCATTGTAACTTGATAGCCAGCAAGTACAAACATCATTGAACAAAGAAAGTTGCAGGCACCAAATAAACAAAAGGCAGGTTCATCGGCATAAAAAAATTTACATTTGTTTGAAGGTGAAGTCAACTACTCCACGTGTGAACATGTATGCCAATCCTAGAGGCTAATGTGCAACCACAGAAAACAAATTTAAAAACCTTAAATCCAATTGCACTGAATGTAAAATTCAAAACTTGGGTTTACCCAGGAAATTCTCCCAAATCTAGGGCTAAAACTGCTTTTTGATGCACCAGGAAGATGTTTTAATGACTTAAGTCACTTAGATTCGCACTGACATACATAAAATTTAAAGTATACTTTTCCCTACTACTCCTTCCTATGTCCAAATCCGGGTATGCTTAACTACCTAGCTCATGCACTAATGCATTAAAAATGATGAAATCTACTACCATGATCTTTTCTAAGAATTCACATCACGTTAACAGTTAACACCCAATATAGCTTCCTAAAAATGCCCCAATAGAAAACATTTTGTTCAGTTTGGTGCTTGCTGTGACAATACTATACAACTAATCCCCTCAGCCACTACTTCAAATACCTCAATCTAACTTTTGCTCAAATTTTAACCTCATACCCATCTGCCAAAATGCTTAAAATTTAACTGTTTTCAACTGTAGCTCCTATACAGTTTAACAGGACCTTTTCCCTGGGTATATCTGGACATTTTAATCAAGAAAATGACGTCATGGTATTATTAGCCAGAGCTTTTTCTAGCAGACCACTGATTCTGATTTAGCATATCTTTAATAAATGGCTTCCCAGAGACAGGAACAAAGCACAGTCTTTTCTATTCATGAAAGGAGCTACCAACATGCTTTGTGCCAGAAAGGTGCACTTTTCCAAGACATAGTCCAGAAGATTCATGGTCTGCTAGAAAGCTTCCACTAATGACAACCCTTTGACAAGGTCTCCAGATATACAGAAATGTTAAAGGTGTGACAGAAAACTCATTTAGCAGGGAAATGAAGCCTTAGATAGTATACATCTAACAAAAATGAGGAACAGGGGGACACTGTAGCTGGCTATTCATAAAGGACCACAGTTTCTCCCTATGGACCAATACTCCCTACAAAATAAACTGTGCCTTAATTATTGCTTATTTTAAATTACACTTTTACAGAGCTATTTAGTACCTGACGCAGAAAAACAATCACATAAGGAAGCATTTATTTGAGGTTTAACATGGAATCATACAAATAAAATTTGTATAAACACAAATCCACATCGAGTCATAACACAGATAGCAAAAGACAAAGTAAAAACAAAGAAAACTAACTGGCGGCTATATACAGTTGGACAGTTGTGTCTTGTACACTAGAAAGTCTTTTACAAAATAATCATCTTAGATCAACAGAAGACCAATCTTCAATGTCGTCCTGCAAGATGGGTTAACTTTAGCAATCTCCTCCTAAAAACAAAAACAAAATAGCAATTAGATTTGTGCAACTCTGAAAGCTTTCAAAGGTCCATTTTCATGAATTGTTTTAAGTCCTCAATTTATTCTTTTCTTCAATAATTAAAGATCACATGCATATTCAATGGCAAAATGTAATTTGGGTCATTAATAAATTCACCCTGTAGTTCCCAAATGATACCAAATTTAAATTTAGTTAAGGAACTGGGGAATGCAATCTTCCCATATTCACAGGTTGAACTGTGCTAGATTAAGGTCTACTAGAAGTATCTCTAGTAAGCCAAAAAAAACACTCTTACAAAAATGAATTTCTAATAGGCTTATTATATTGTAAGACAACAAATTTCTGTGTGCATATGATCTTTAATTTATATCCCAGATTTTAAAGTTCTTGTTTTGGTTTGTAGATTTCACTATTAGCTATAAAAAGAAAAAGCAAGCATTAAATCTTAAAGAATGAACACTTAAAATGAGGCTCCACAATTGAAATACAACACTAAACAGAAGACCAAAATGATTAAGCTGTAAAAAGGCATTTATGTACTTTAACTCCTGTAAAAAACCATTTAAGTTAAGTTTAGACACTTAATCTTCAAAAAGATTAAAAAAGAAGCCAAAGTCTGAAGTTTTCCACTTTAATCTTTACGCTGGTACATGAAGTTGGAAGAGACCATACCACAGGACAGCGTTTTCTGGTGTATGCCTTGCGCTCTGCCCGCAACGTGCGACCCCCAGAGATAGACGTGGTCAGGGTGACACACGGCCTGCAATGAAGTTCCCGCTGGCGGGTACAAACAAGGTATAATGTCAGAGTTAGAAGACAACATTCTTGTTTTCCTTAAGTTGTACCCATTTCAGTACTTTACCTGTTAATAGTTCTAAAAAAGTTTAATTATTCCTCTAGACCACCTGGTACACAAAAGCAAACAGAAAAACTCTTAAGTTTTTCTGTAGTACTAAAGAAAGTGAGATAAGACTTTAAAGTTAAAGATCTATAGACACTTTAGGCAAAAGAGGCTCATAAAGCAATTAAAAAGTTAACAATTTAGTAAAAACAGACTACATAATATTGTTTTTACTTATTTTTCATTTGTCTATTGATCTTTAAATTAAATTAGACATTTCCACTGGTTTCTTGTACTCTTACACACACCTGTTTTCTCCAACATCCTCCTTTAGTATGGCTGGTAATTGTTTTGGTGATTGCCACCCCCTCGAGACGCCTTGCCATAAGTGCTCTGTTGCCCTAGTTTGGAAACACACAAAAATTTTATTAAGATAGTTTTCTACGAAATGGTTTCATTATAAATACTTTAAGAAGCTGTTAAACATGTACAATTCTGCATGCCAAATATTAAAATTATCAGATATCTTAAATAGGCATTATAAACTAGTCACGTATCACATATTCTAGAACATTTCTAACCACCAAAGTTTTTACGTTAGTATAATCACCCGGTAACTATCAAACGCCTAAAAGCTTAACTCCAACACTTCAAGAACAGAAAACCCACACACAAACAATTTCAGAATGGGATTGTACTTTAACATGGAATTTTAATACCATTGGTTTATGCAATTAAGTTAAATATTCTTACCACTGTAGTCTGCATATCCCTGTCCATATCCATAGTTCCCATAGTTATACCCAGTATAATCATAGCCGCCATAGCCACTATAGTTTTGATCACCACCATAGGCACTATTGTAATTTCCATATCCTTGATCGTAATAGTTATTAAATCCTTGGTTCCAGTTTTGGCCCTGACCTGAAACAATGCACAGTGATTGTTAGATAACAACTTCTGATCCCGATCCTAACACAAAAGTTGTGTTCCTGTCCCTCACTCTGAGAATCTTAAACAGGTGGAATGAACATCTATATAGTCATCTGAGAAAATTATTATTCCAGTTGTCACAAAAGGGGGCAGAAAGTCCAATTGTGCCAATTATCAAGCTTCCTAAATTTAATGGAAAAATCAGAACAAAGGTGAAAACAGGTAGGCTGTTTAGTTTTAAAACAAGAACTCCTGCTCCCAAAAACCCAGCATGCTATGGTGTTATGTAATCTTAACTACATTAAATTGGTATTATTTTCCCATTAATAACAACACTGTCAGAGAGACCATTCTTCGAAGAGGTGAAACCAGTAAACTAAGTAACAAAAACCCATCCACTAACTTGAGCATTTTTTATGTTGAAAATCTGGCTTTACTTTCTCATGGGCTTACTCCCATTTTGCAGTTTATAGCTTAAACCAAGAAATCATTTTCAAAGGATTAAATTCCGAAGAATTAAGCCTCACCTCGTCCACGACCCCTAGTACCACCTCGTCCACCAGCTGCAGCACCTCTTCCTCCTTTTTGTTGTTGCTGTTGCTGCCTGTATACCTCTTTGGGTTGTGCAACTTTGATTTCACACTATAAACACATTAAAACAACTTTTTTACTGTAATGTCAAGCCATTTTATTCTTCTCAAAACAGAAATCTCATCTTAAGAAAACAAAACAAACCACCTTCAAATTTTCATTTAATAGAAGCAAAATGGCTTTACCTTCCCAGAACCAATTTGATGATATCTGCTTTCTAACAATTTCTTTACTGGCTCTTCGTCTGTATATGTAATAAAACAAAATCCTCTTCTTTCATTTGTTTTTGTATCCATGGGAAGTTCAATATTTTCAATCTGAAACCAAGAAGCACACTCGAGATCATCTAGCAACGATAAAAGCTACCAGAAGGTATAACAACACCAAAAGTCCCCGGTCCCCTTCAAGCGTCAATATAACATGCTGCACTGTTACTGCAGTCAGACTGCTTCTGTATAGAAACTCGTATTTTATTATCAACATCACACCACAAACATTCATCTGTGAAGCAGAGAACAAAACTTAATATCATTTTGTACCTAACAGATGCCACTGGTCAAGTCCAAACACTGACCACCCCAAAGCACCTGTGTTTTGGCCAAAATAAATTAAGATGTTTGTTTCCATCGTAGGACAGAAAAAAACAGCGATTAAGGTACAGTTACTAGAAGGGACCTGAGCAGTTAATTTAACCTCTTCCTCACCTGAAAAATCAATTTGTTCTGTAAAAAGCTGGGGATTAACATTACATACACACACCAAGTATAAAACACATATAAATGTAATCATACAGCGCACCTCTCCGAAGGCTCCAAAATATTCTTTAATTTGTTCTTCAGAAGTATCTGGGCTCAATCCACCCACAAAAACCTTTTTGGGGGGTTCTTTCCCTTTTAAAGCTTTGGCCCTTTTGGGGTCTATCAATTTGCCATCCAATTTGTGTTCTTTCAGTTCCAAAACCTAGAAGACAAATGTATTTAATTTGACAATATACAACCAAACCCCCAATCTGCAAAAAAAGCACACAGAAGCAGCACAATGCAAAGTACCTGCTCCTACCTTATCAACACTAGCAGCATCTTTGAAAAGCACAAATCCAAATCCTCTTGATCTTCCAGTCACTGGATCTGTTTTTATTGTACAGTCTACAACTTCCCCAAATCGAGACAAATATTCAGTCAGATCTTTCTTGCTTGTATCCCAGCTCAAGCCTCCAATAAACATTTTACTAGAAATAAAGTTATTTTTTTTAAAAAGATTAGCAGCACCTCAAGGATTACTTCAGTTCTGTAATTACGTTTAACTACGAAATTAACGAGGGAGGCGTTTAACCGTATATGTAAGTAATTCAATCCGTGTCTACACATCCCATATAAACAAAAGACCACAAAACCCCCCAAATTCCATCGAGGTCACTTATTCCAAACAGTGCACAGCTTGCTCACCATACTGCATAATACGAAATTTAAACGAGGCCAACAAAGTTAGTTCTACATTGATTTAGTTTTAAAAATCCAACTTCCTAACCCGATCCCTCACAACTTAGGTCCGCCCCCTTCCACAGCTGTCAAGGCTATGTTCCACCTAAAGTACTCATAGCGCGTTCTGGGGATCCGGGTACCAGTCACACACTGATTCCTAAACTCTCCCCAGCAAAACTGTGCGGGGGCCCTAGCACAGACATAATAAAAAGGCGGCGGCAGCTGCAGCATGTGGCGCAGCGATGCCGGCCCCTCCCCCTCGGGCCCCACGCGGCGCCTGCGCACTCGGGACACAGACGCCGCCGCCCTCCTCCTCCAACTCCCCCGCCCTTCCCCCACCTTCCGCGGGCCTCTCAAGTCACCCCCTCCGTCTCCTACTTTCCTCTTCCCTCCAAGCTATTGCGGCCTAGCGGGCACGCGGGGAATCGACTCGGGGCAAGAACCGGGGCAGCACGCGGCTCCCGAGGGATGAAGGGCGCGTGCGGCGCGCTGGGGGAGGGGGAAGAGAGGAGAAGCGTGCGGTACCCGTCATCCTGCTGATTCTTGCTCGCGTTGATCTTGGATCCCTCTGCGAATTCCTCTATGTTGCTGTACTCGTTCATGTCCTCCATGGTGGCGGAGTTGTCGGCCGTGGGGTGCTGGCGCGCAGTCCGGGTCGCGGCAGCAGTGGCGGCGGAGCGTTGTATGGAGCTGGATTTAAAATGGCGGCGGAAGAGATCCGGGCGCCGCCTGCGCCCTCCCTTTATAGCCGCCCCGCCCGCCAATCGGGAGGGCTGCTGGGCGGTGACGTGGCGCTGGGCCCGGCGCGCCCCCTGCCGGGCGGAGCTGGAAGCGAGCGAAGGGAGGAGCGGGGCGAGCTGCCGCGGCGCCCGCGGCCGCCAATGGGAAAGGCTGCGAGAGGCTAAAGTAGCGGGAGCGGAGGGGAACAATGGCGGCGGCACATGGGAAAGCCGGGGCGGGACCTCCATCGCGGCCCTCCCGGTGAGAAGCGAGGTCGTGGGTGAGGGGACGCGGGCTTAAGATGAGAGAAGCGTCAGAAGAGAAAAACGAAGGGGCGAAAAGTCCTGGGGTCAAAAATCCCGAGCAGCGCCGTCGCAGGGCCACAGTCCCTCTTGTCTTGAGAGCCTTTGTCTCTGGCGTCCGGTCCAGCCCACTCCTAGCAAAGAGCCGTCAACCCCGCCTTTTTCCAAAGCCCTCGGTCCCCCAGTACGGACTGCTGCGGTGGTGGCTGCTGCTATCGATTAGCACCGTGGCCGGGTTGCTCCGGAAAAAAGGCGGACTGCGCCCGGCGCCGGCGGCTGAGACAGCAAGCGCGCCCGCCCGCCCCTCTGCCGCGCGCACGCGTGTTTTGTCCTCGAGCTGGCTGGAACCAGCCGAACAGGAAGCGGGCACGCGGCGGCCCCTCCGGGCAGCGGCGCGGGTGCCTCTTCCGCTACCGCGGCAGGCGCGCGGGCCGAGGAGGCGCGGCGGGCCTCCCTAACCGATCGGCCGGAGCCCGGGCCAACGCAGTCAGGCAAACCAGTCCCGGCACGGCCTCTTTTGCTGGCTGAGGACTGGAGGAGGGGCGCGAGCCCGATCAGGTTACTGTAAATATGCAAAAGCGGAGGCAGTGGGCGGGGAGGGGGCTAGGTGCCGTAGAGGGCAAGGGGCACTCACATCCCCGGCGCGCCACTCGCGGGGCTCCTGTCTGCACGTGCCCCGGGCCTCTCCCGCTCGCTCAACCAGTCTGCGAAGAGCGCGCGCGCGCCCGCGCACCCGGCTCCCGCGTTCGCTTCTTTGTTCCCGCCCACGCGAGGCCCATTTTGACGGATCGGGTTCGACGCTCTCTGGTGGCCAATCGGCGTCGGCGCCTTTACCTCCCCCCACCCCTTCGGAACTCCGCCAGGGCCGCCCCCTTTCCCTGCCCACGTGGTCTCGGCCTCCGGCCCTAGGCAGCTAGGTAGTTAAGGGCGCCTGTGCTGCCGTCTTATCCACCTTCGGGGGAGCGGAGGTGGCCCTGTTCCTCGTGCTTCGGGCCGCACGCGGCTGCCGGGTGGGAGATTCTTGCGGGGCTGTCGGAAGCCCAGGACTGTGCTGGGGGCGCAGTCTGCGCCGCCCTCCGCCCTTTCTTCCAGTAGGCCGATTCCGGTAGTTGCATCCGGTAGGGAAATGGTCGTGCTTTCCGTGCCCGCCGAAGTCACTGTGATCCTGTTAGATATCGAAGGTACCACAACCCCGATTGCTTTCGTGAAGGTGAGGGGCGGAAGGGAGCGGGGAAGTGACTTGTGCTTAAAAGCAATTAAAAACATTTTTTAAAAAGTGTTGCATACCTTGTACCAGAGACATGAGGCTTAGGAGAGGCGGTGTGGCTTTGCACCGCTGTGGGGTGGGAGGAAGTAGTGCGGCGGGTTGCGGGGATGTTTTTCGTCACCGTACTCTGTTCGTCCTCCCCAGTCCCTGCCTTTGGTTCAATGTAGATGGGTGGGAAAGGGGTGGAGATGGTGGCGAAAAAGGGCGGAGGAGGCAGATCCGCCCGGGTGGGGAGAGGGGACGTGGGCGCCCCCCTCCGGCCAGGTGTGCGCCCCGTCGTCCCGCAGGTGAGCGCCTGCTTGGCTCTGGGTTGGGCCCATCTAGGCGGCGGCCGCGATAGAGTGGTCCTGGAGGCTTCTAGTCCCGCAAAACGTAGACTGAAGTGTCAAGATGACTTTTCAGTTAGCCCTGGTATCTTGGGCCATGGTGGTTACTCTTCGCCCCTCCCACTCCTACTATTAGTGTGCCGAACTGCACTCTATGTTATTGGGCTAGACACTGCGGAACGCTGTGCTGATTTATTAAGCTGTAAAACAAACATGTCTAGATTCCGTTCGTTTTCCTCTTAAAACCATGGAAACTTGAACCTCTTACCCAGAGCCTCTATCCTAGCCTCTGTCACTCATTAGCCAATTTTCTACACCTAATTCGTAAACTTACAGCTCTGCATTATAGCAGGGCTTTTAAAATAAAAAAAACCTGTACTCTCTCAATGAATATTAAATATTAATATAATTTTAAAAAGAATTTCTCGGGCCTAGTCTACGCTTTATTCGACTTAATAGCGGTTTAAGATGAAAGCATTAACTAGGAGGGTTTGCATACAATAATATTGTTTACAATGTAGGGAAAACCCATCTTCCAACAAATTGAGCAGTCTGAGTTTAAACTTTTTTTGTTTTTTTTTTTAAGATTTTATTTATTTATTTGAGAGAGAGAGCACATGAGAGGGGGGAGAGTCAGAGGGAGAAGCAGACTCCCCGCTGAGCAGGGAACCCGATGCGGGACTCGATCCTGGGACTCCAGGATCATGACCTGAGCCGAAGGCAGTCGCTTAACCAACTGAGCCACCCAGGCGCCCTAAGTTAGTTTTATTTTTAAAATTGCCTGTGAAGAATGATTTTTTTGATGTGGATTATAATGTAAAATCAGTGTACACTTTTAGGACTCCAATATAACAACCACTTACACTTTTAAAAGAATCACAATACCATATTAGCACAAGTTCTTAAGAAATCTAGTTTGACCTTTTTTTCTGTTTTTAATCACACCAGAGGACTCTGCAGAAATAGGATTGACCAAATGCTGGTAATGGAGTTGACTTTTTTTTTTTTTTAAAGATTTTATTTATTTATTTGAGAGAGAGAGCACATGAGAGGGGGGAGAGTCAGAGGGAGAAGCAGACTCCCCGCTGAGCAGGGAACCCGATGCGGGACTCGATCCCAGGACTCCAGGATCATGACCTGAGCCGAAGGCAGTCGCTTAACCAACTGAGCCACCCAGGCGCCCGGAGTTGACTTTTTTCTTAATGACTGACAGAATAACCGCTTTCTCAGAGTTTTCAGAGAGAAAAGGATTCCTCATCTTTGTGGGTTATAGTTCACAGCTTATTAACTTCACCAGGGATAATAACAGGAGAGGTAGTGATGCGGCATAAGATCATGTACCATTCTTGGAAAGTTGATTAGGGACTAGGATACCTCATGCAAATCAGTTTTGTAACAAAACATAGGTGCCTCTCCCTCCTCTCCAGTCCCAGCCAATCCTTTCTTTTGTCAGATGACATGAGCCACTTCTTGAAATCTTCGTTATGGTAGATTTATCCTGACATCTTTCTGAGAGTTAAAATGTCTTCATGGTCTAAATAGATTTTTTTTTTTGAGTTTGACACTGATCTGTAGGTAAAGTCAAGGCAGGCTGCAAAAAATGATTTCGGGGGGGTTGTTTCTTTATTTTTTTAATTTTATTTAATTATGTTAATCACCATACATTACATCATTAATTTTTGATGTAGTGTTCCATGATTCATTGTTTGTGTATAACACCCAGTGTTCCATTCAGTACATGCCCTCCTTAATACCCATCACCAGGCTAACCCATCCTCCCACCACCCTCCCCTCTAGACCCCTCAGTTTGTTTCTCAGAGTCCATAGTCTCTCATGGTTCGTCACCCCTCTGACTTCACCCCCTTCATTTTTCCCTTCCTACTATCTTTTTTGTTTTTTAACATGTAATGTATTACTTGTTTCAGAGGTACAGGTCTGTGATTCAACAGTCCTACACAGTTCACATCGCTCACCATAGCACATACCCTCCCCAGTGTCTTATCACCCAGCCACCCCATCCCTTCCACCCACCACCACTCCCACAACCCTCAGTTTGTTTCCTGAGATTAAGAAATCCTCATATCAGTGAGATCATATGATACATGTCTTTCTCTGATTGACTTATTTTTGTTAGCATAATATCCTCTAGTTCCATCCACATCGTTGCAAATGGCAAGATTTATTGTGGTTTTTTTTGATGGCTGCATAATATTTCATTGTATATATACACCACATTTTCTTTATCCATTCATCTGTTGATGGACATCTTAGCTCTTTCCATAGTTTGGCTATTGTGGACATTGCTGCTATAAACATTGGGGTGCATGTACCCCT